ACAACTTCCTTCTGGAAAGAAATTATGATTCCTGGTAAAAGTGCTTAGAAAATTTTCTGATGAATTTAAGAATATTAAGACTCGTTCTGGAAAACTAGTCACCCACCCACTCAGCTGACATCAGTCAAGAGTCTTAGTGACCTTTTAATCAAACATTTTTTTTTAAGTGTAGTCTAACAATGATTATCTAACCTTTCACCAAAAGCGAATTTCTAAACTGGGACTATCGGAGGCCTTTCCCCTTAAAGTAAGATTGTAATAAAACTTTGACTAACGAATTAGTCTTAACTAAATTGTCTGAAGTGTTTTCTTTAACACTGGGGCCAACTATATGCCATGTAGGTCCCCTCAAAGGAAGCTTACTTGCTTGTGAAAGGTGGGAACAACAAAATTCAGGCAAATTAACACACAATGATTACTTACCAAGTTGTCTGACATTCCTCAGGCACATTATTGAGCAGTTCGTCTTCAAGACGAAGCTATTCAAAAAGTGCTGTGTTTGGGAATGATTAAACTTCAAGTACCTCATTTATTAAAAGGAAAGACTGATAGACTTTGATTTTATTCTACTCTTGGACTTTGATTTAGTCAGAGACTGGAAAAGATATTTGGTTATACTGTAACCAGGAGCAAGGGGTCAAAGACATCAAATTAAGGATTATAAATAAGGGTCAATGCCATAGGAAGTCTCAAATGCCATAGCTAAGGTGAAAGTGTGGCTGCAGAATGTGCTTTCTTGGAGAAAGCACTTACTTTCTTCCATTGTTTCACATGAGCTTCTGTCCAAACTTCCAATACTTTGCAAATGTTTTTGAATTGCTTCCAGCAAAAAAATGTGTCTGTTGAAAAATCATTTGATCACTGAGATCATTTTACTTCAGCATGAAGATGACTTCCCTCTGGATACCCATTCCTCTTCTCAACCGCACCGTGACACATGGAGGCATCAAGTCAGTGCTTACCCCCTATAATTTTGGGCTTAATTGCCCTATCTTTTCCAAATATGCCCTCACTAATTCTACTTTGTTTCCCTCCTCTGGGTTTAATATAAAAATTGGCCCCTAGGAGAAATATGTTGTCCCAGTGGTACGGTAATTTAACCCTTCCCCTGTTCTTGGATATTTAGTTTAGCTTTTTTTTTTTTAACCATCTTAAACAATGTTTCAGTGAGCATCCTTGTACGTCTATCTCTGCTCCTGTGTGTTCTCATTTTCTTACATCACCAATTTTAGATTTCATTTTATTTTCCATGAAGTTTTCTCTACTGAGAAGAGAATGTGCCGCTCTCAGGGACTTGGCAGAATTATTGTCCAAACTGAATTATTAAATTGGCTTCTGAGTGTAAGTGATGCTTGTAAAAATCAGGGTAAGAACAAACTCCTAGCCAAGGGCTAGCCCGCCCCTGCAGGTGTCAGCTGACAATGGATGGAAGTAAAACAGCCTGACTGGGAAATACTACAGAGCCGTCTCCACCACCTTGAAGCCTTTGCTGGCTGTCAGCCTAGCAGGCATCTCATCTTCAGTGTGGGGAGGCGGGAGGTTGAGAATCAGCACAGTGCTTACTCTTAGGCCCTGGAGCTCTGGGCAGGACGCTTCCTGGCACCTTAACTCTGGGCTGAGACTAAAATGCCAGTGAGGTGAGAAGGCAGGACCCTGGACAGCTCAGTGGGTGTTTCCCCTACTTTCACATCCCACCATTCTTAGGAAAAGAGTTGTCTTTCATACTGTGTTTTTCCTTTTATTTATTTATTTCTTATTAATTAATTAATTAATTAATTTAGCAGAAAAGCTAACTGGTTGGCCCCAGGTGAGAATCTCCTGAGTTTAAAGGGCCTGGGTTTTGTCATTACACAATTGGTCCCTCCTGATAATAATTTCTAAATTACCTTTCCTTTTCACTGCTTTTTGAAGCTTATAGATTGATAAGAAATTGAAGGCCAAGTGACTAGCTCAAGGCCACAGGGCTGGCCGTTGCAAGGGTGGACAGGACTAGAACTTAGTTCTTCTGACGCCTTGGTATTCACTTATTCAGCAGTTACAGAGCACAAATAATGTATTTATTAGTTACAATACAGGCTAAGTTTCTGTAACAAAGGGAAACACAATGTCTCAAATAATACCAAAGCTTACTTCTCTCATACATAACTCTCCAGAGTTGCACAGCTGGTGCAGGGCAGGTAGGGTGTTCTGTTCCAGGATGTCATTCAGGGACCCAGATTCCTTCTATCTTGTTGCCCGGGTCCACAAACTTTTTCTGTAAAGGGCCAAATAGTAAATATTTTAGGCTTTGTGGGCCACAGAGTCATCGTCACAACTGTTCAATTCTGCTAATGTAGTGCAAAAGCAGATACTGACATTAGGTAAGCAAATGGGCATGGCTGTATTCCAATAAAACTTTATTTGCAAAAACAGGCTGCAGGTCAGATTTGGTCCATAGGTTGTAATTTACTGACCTCTGCCCTTAGATATCCTTTTCATCATTTTATCTGTGTCCCAGACAGAGGAAAGAAGTGGATGGGTTGAAATTATAAAACACGATCCATAGATAAAACATTGTGGCGTAGTCACACAGTGGAATACTATGAAAACAAGAATGAATGAACCACAGCTACACACTACAACTTGGATGAACGCCACAGATATAATGTTAAGCAAGAGAAGCCAGACACAAAAGTTACATATTGATTGAATCCATTTATATAAAGTATAAAAATAGGTAAAACTAATCTGTGGTATTAAAAGTCAGGATGGTAGTTGCCTTTGTGGGCGATAGTGACCAGAAGGGGATACAAGAAGACTTCTGGGTTCCGGCAATGTTCTATTTCTTCATCTGGATGATGTGTTCCCACACACAAGTGTGTTCACATGTGAAAATTCACTAAGCCATAGCTTAATATTTGTGTACTTTTCTATATGAATGCTATACTTCAATAAAAAAGTTTACATAAATTGAAAAAAAAAAGTGATTCAGGAGTAGGGTACTCGGGGCCGGCTGGTGGCGCAGCAGTTAAGTTCGCACGTTCTGCTTCGGCGGCCCGGGGTTCGCCAGTTCGGATCCCTGGTTCGGACATGGCACCGCTTGGCAAGCCATGCTGTGGCAGGCGTCCCACATATAAAAAAAGTAGAGGAAAGTGGGCACGTATGTTAGCTCAGAACCAGTCTTCCTCAGCAAAAAGAGGAGGATTGGCAGCAGTTAGCTCAGGGCTAATCTCAAAAAAAAAAAAAGAAGTAGGGTACTACTACTTCTAGAATCACCTGGGGTGGGGCAGGTTCTTCTTAAAGGGGACATGACCCCCTTTAAGGACCCCATGACACTCTTCCAAGGCAGACAGGGAGGACTGTGGCCAACAAGTCACTTTAGGACCCACATTGGAGTGGTTATCCAGCTCACAGCCTTTCTCTCTTGGTTACCTGATGGGCATAAAATTTGAGGTGGCCATCCATGGTCCCTCACCCCCTGGCCATAACAACTGACCTAAAATGTGGGTAATGACCCAGGCCAGGAAAGTTACAGTCCTTTCCCAGGAATTGCCAAACTGGATCTGAGAAAAGGGACTCCTTTCTCTCCAGCTGTAAGTGAGAGCCTGGATATTTTGCAGCCTGGTCCAGCTTCCTGGAGATGGCTAGACTGTGGGAATGAGCCTGATACCCAGAGAGAAGCAGGGAGAGAGCTAGACAGAGAAAGAGCTAAGAATCTTCAGGCTCCTGGTTCCAGCTATCCCTAAGGTCAGCTCCACCCTGCTCTTCCCAGTTACATGAGCCATAAACTCCTTTTGTGCTTAAGAGAATTAGTGTTGGGTTCCTCTCTCTCGAACACTATCAGCTTCCTTTCTCTCCAAAATGCACCCTGAATCCAACCACTTTTCACCGTCTCCACGGCTGCTGTCCCAGCCCAACACTCTACTCTCGCTTGCCGGAGGAATCCAACAGCCTCCCTCCTGATAGGTCTCCCAGCTTCTCTCTTGCTCCCTTGCAATCCATTCTGCACCCAACAGGCCAAGTGATCTTAGATAAATGTCAATCAAATCATGTCACTTCCTGCCTAAAACTCTCCAGAGGCTTCTCATTATATCCAAACTCCTTGTCCTGTTTTATAAGGCCCTGCACGATCTGCTTCTGTCTACTCTCCAACTATATACCGTGCCACTCCCCTCATCGCTGTGCTTCAGCTACATTGTCCTTCTTTTTGTTTCTTGAACTCATTAAGCTCATTATTTCTCCAGTGACTTTGCATCTGCTGTCCCAGCTCTTTCCACGGTTAGCTCCTCGCCATTCTGTTTTTAACATAGCAATGTAGTAATCATAGCTCCCCAATGCCATCTCTTTATATATTGTTTGGTTGTTTAAATTATTCACAGAAATTGTCACTAGCTGATATTATTTTATTTATGTTTTTGCTTACTTTTTTGCTGCCTGTCTATCCTCCCAGAGGTGAGCTCCAGGAAAGCAGTGTTCTCACCTGTCTTGTTTACATGTATCCACATAGTAGGTGCTCAAGTCAAGTATTTATTGAATGAATGAATGAGTTACTAAATGATGAGGGGCTGGAGTTCTGTGGAGGCCCCTAGGTTCCTGCTGGATCTCCGTTCCTCTGTACCCTGTTGCTGTTCACAGTGTTGACCAGTGCTTAACTCAGAGGCACTTGCAATTGTCACTTGACCTCACTCAATCTCAGTTTCCTCATTTGTGAAACTGGACCCCTACTCCTTGCTGAGCCAACCCCAAGGGTTTTGGGAGATGCAAGGAGCCAGTGGGTGGAAAAGCCCAGAGCCCACTGATGATCAGAATTGAATGGGTCTGGCCTGGTTGGGGAAGCCCCTTGTTCCTGCTTCCCTACCAAGCCCTTCCCACTCGATGCTGTTTGACCTGGCCTGCTCCCTCCTCTCTGGGTCACTCACACGGTCTCACTTGCCTTGCCTCTCCTGATGCCTAGCCCTCTAAAGGTCTTATTTTATAGCTTCTTGTAAGGAATCCACATGAGGCCATGACCTTCCCTGTGAGAAAGCACAGGCTGTAAAAGTCCTACTCTGTGGTTAAATATTGATAACACCAGGAAGTAGAGGCCTGGCGTGGGCACGCCACACATCCTCTTGCAATGTGGTCCCCCCAGACCAAGGGACCTCCTCAGCCTCTTCCCCTGGGCTGGCACGAGGGTCTGGATGTTTTCTCTGTACTTGAGGCCAACATATAAGAAGGAAAGCACTGGGCTCCTGGTTCTTTCGGATTGTGAAAGTCAGGTGGAGCCTGTTTGCCCTCTGAGGCCACTCATTCAAGAGGTCAGTCACCCCGGAGTGACAGAGAAGTCTCCAGGCATGGGCGTGTGCTAAGAGCAGAGCTACCAGACGGGCCCAGCTGCCACAGGCCATGCAGCACTGCCCCCCAGGATCAGCTGTGTGGAGAGCTCAGGTGCAAAGACCATCCGGTGCTCCTGTGAGAGGAGGAGGAGGAAGACACAGAAATCAGTGCTGCTTCCAACAGCAGGCCCCAGAAACCCAGGATCGAGGGTGAGTGTCTTCAACCTCCCACAGGGATGGGTGGCCCAGGTGTCTGTGCAGGAATCACAGTCCAATGGCAGATGGTTAAGCCCTGTTTAAAATGCAGGAATCTCCCAGAGGGGCCTAAGGAGATATGACAATTAAAAGCAATATGATGTCCTGGATGGGATCCTGGAACAGGAAAGAGACATGGAAAAATGAATGAAATCCAAATAAATCATGAAGTTTAGTTAATTATTTTTTAAAAGCTCGGACATTAATAAGATGCTCACTCTGGAAGGAAACTAGATAAGTGCTCTGAGGGACATGTGTCCTCTGCTTCTGTGGCATTTAACATAGTCAGGGAGAGCTGACTTTGTTGCTGACTTTGTTCTGGATTTGTATCTATTTTGTCATTTTGGTTTTTTGTTTGTTGGTATATGTTTACCATAACAATATTATGTATATTTTTAAAACACACATTCCACTGTGGATATCAGCCCACATGCAAGTGTGTATACTTATCCGATTAGTTCCAGTACCACACTGTCTTGATTACTGTAGCTTTATAGTAAGTCTTGGAGACAGGTAGTGTCAGTCCTGTAACTTTTTGTTCTTTTCCTTCAATATTGTGTTGACTATTCTGGGTCTTTGGCCCCTCCATATAAATCATAGAATCAGTTTGTTGATATCCATGAAATAACTTGGGATTTTGATTGGGATGCGTTGAATCTATAGATAAAATTGGGGAGAAATGACTTCTTGATTAGTTCGATTAATTAAACATCCAAAATTGAAATTATTCTCTCAAAAGGTGTAAAATACAATATGTACATACATTTAAAAATACATACACATATACAAAATATATATTTAAAGTATACACACAAAAATACATACATTTAAAAAAAGTAATTACATGTATTGTTTTCATGAAGGCAGTGTGTAGTCACAAGAAATGTATACAATACAGAAGTGTTCAAAGTGAACGTCCCATGTGCCTAGGCCCCATCCCACTTCCCTAGACGGAGTCGGTGTTTGGTATCTTGACCTCTGCACTCTTTCCTCTGTGGGTATGGGGGGGTGGTGGTCTGCGTATGCGACAGGGGCCTATGGCCAATGTTACTAATTAATCCAGGTACTCCCGCATCTCAGATTGGACAGAAAGTCACAACTCTTCTTAGCAAGTGCTCTGAACAGACAGTTGGAGCTGAAGCGCAAGATCACATCACTTAGCCATCTGAGTGGTTGTATTATATATATCCCTCAAGTGGGTACGTGGGTGGTGTGCATCTGAGGATGTGAAAGTCTGAAAATGGTCTCTCTCCCCGACCTCCATCTCTACCTTGACGCACGAATGATCATTCATATATGAAAAAACTTCGCTCAGTATTATATTTGCGTCAAAATATTTTCTCTCAAAATCTGTAGATGTTTCTTCAGTTTTCTCAGAATATTCAGAGCTGGAGGAAACGCTGATGTCAGTCCTTTTATTAGCACCTTGTTTTTCTGCTTGGCCGTTTGCCATCCAGTTGTTTTTGAACGTTCCTGGCTCAGCATCCAAAGGCTATTTTGGAAGGCGGTTTCAGAGTGGGGGAACCCGAGGTCGCCTTGGGGCCTCTCTGGTTTTCTCTTTGCTTTTGTTGTTGGCATTAGCCTCATGACATGTTTTCGTCATGTTCAAGACTGCTCAAGATTGGTCTGTTCAAGACTCTGCTCTTGTTTTATTGCTTCTGTTACTTTTATCTCCATGCCTGTTTCCTTTTTCCTCTTCCTCCAGAGATGACTATTCTAATGTGTTTAACGTCTTTTTAAAAAATGTGTTTTTGTAAAATGTGCGTTGTTGTTTTGTGTGTAGACATTTTGAATTTTTATAAACGGTCTGGCATGCCCCCTTGTGATCCCTGGGGATAATTCTTTGGGACAGAACTGCTGTGTCATGGGGTGTGTACACTCACTTTGACTAATTTGCTCTCTAGGTAGCTGCCCAGTCTACACTCCCTCTGTCAGTGCATAAGGCTATAGCCCCAGAGTGCCGTCAGCACACAGCATTATCCAGCTTACAAACTGTGCCCATCTAGTAGATATCAAGTAGCATCTCATTTTTGTTTTAATTTTCTTTCTTCTGATTACCAAAGAGTTTAAGCATTTTTCACATGCCTGCGAGCCTTTTGAGTTCCCTGTTTCGTAAACTGCTTGTTTATGTTCTTTACCCATTATTAGGATTCTCGTCTTTTTCTTGTTCATTTGCAAGAACTCTATATATTCTAGAAATCAGTCCCTTTGTGGTTTTAAGCACCGCAAGTATCTCATCCCATTCGGAAATGTGTTTGTTACTGTATCGATGGTATTCTTCATTGAACAGATAATCTTATTTTTGATACAATCAAATTCATCAGTTTTTTGTCATTATTGAATTATTTGAGCTTTTATGGTTTTGTTTAAGAAGTCCTATCTCACTTCTATTCACTTTATATGTTTTCCTCTGACATTTAGGCCTTTAATTATGGAGTCTGTTTTTGTACATGCTGTTTGTTAGATGTGCCTCCAGTCGTTTTTTTCCTCCGCACAGTGAGCCAGTTTTCCTCAGTCCATCTACTGGACAGTCCCCCTTTCCCTACTGGTTAGCAGAGCTACCTTTATCGCATGTCAGTTTCCTATGTGTACGTAGGTCTCTGAAATCTCTGTTCTGATCCTTTGGTATAGTGATTTGGCCTTGTGTTAAAACCGTATTTTTTGTTACTTTGTCTCAACACCTGGTGGGGCCAGCCTCTACTCTTAGTCTTTCTCTTTTTCAAAGATTGACTTAGCTATTTGTGGACTTTCACTTTTTCTATAAAACTGTTACAATAAGTGTGTCAAGGTCCCCAGAAAAATCCAGTTGGAATTTTAATTGAGATTGCATTCAATTTATAGATTAATTTGGGGATAATTGGCATCTTTATATTTTGTCCTATAGTTTGCCCTATCTAAAAACATAAATGTCTCTCCATTTATTCAGATCACATTTTCTTTTTTGTTCTAGAGTTTTAAAATTTTCTCCATAGAGGTCTTTTGTGTTCTTGGATAAGTTAATCTAGGTGCTTTATGACTTTGATGCTGTTGTAAATATCTTATTTTTATTTAATTTTCCAGTTTCAATAATAATGTGGGAAATGCTATTGACCGTGTATACAGCAACCTTAATGAATGCTTCTATTAGTTCTAACTGTTTGTATTTCTAGGTAGATGATCGTGTCATCTGAAAATTGTGGGTTTTAATTCTATCCTGTCAAATCTCACACTTACTTCTTTTTCTTTCCTTATAGCACTTGCTAGGACTTCCAAGACAGTATTAAACTGTAATGGTCAAATTCAGCCAGCAAATTGTTGTCTTATCATTTATCTTAAAGGGAATGCATTTAAAATTTCCCCATTAAATATAATGTTTGCTGTACGATTTTTATATATTGCCTTCCTCAAGTTGAAGAAATTTCCTTCTACTCCAGGTTTACCAAGAGTTTTTATCGTACATATTAATCATATGATTTTTCCCCTATGGCCTATTAATGTGGTGAATTACATTATATAGTTTATAATGTTGAACTTTCTTCCATTTCTGGTATTACACTTGATAATGATTTTCTTAATACATTGTTGAGTTTGGTTAACTAATACTTTATTTAGGATTTTTGCATCTACTTTCATAAGTGAATGGGCCTACCATTTTCTCTTCTTGTATGGTCCTCATCTAGTTCTGAAACCAACGTTAAATCAGCAGTTCAATTTGTGCTCTTTATTTTTGGGGAAAACTTGTTTAAAATAAGAATTAACTACTTATTGAAAATTTATCAGAACTCATGATTAAAGCCATCTAGGCTTGGGCTTTATTTTTTGGAGAAGAGGTCTTGGACCATTATTTCCATTTTTTTATTATTACTTTTAGTCTCCAAGTTTCTTGTTTCTTCTTTGTATCAGTTTGGTATTTTATATTTTTCTAGAATTTTATCCATTTCATCTAGGTCGTCAAGTTTATTAGCATATAGTTCAAAATACACTTTTATATTTTAAAATCTCTGGTCTTATTTTGATTCTATACTTTATTTGTGTCTTCTCTCTTTTTTCTGGATCAATCTTGCCAGAGATTCATTTTATTAACATATTTTTTTAAACGGGCTTTTGGTTTTGTTCATCTTCTCCGTTCTCCACCTCTATTTCATTGATTTCTGCCTCTATCTTTATTATTTCCTCTTTTGTTCTTCAGAGGACCCAGTGATCCAGAGGAGAGAAATTTGCCTAGACAACTTAACCAGAGGCATAGCCAGGTGAGGGGCCAGCTCCTAGGCTCTTAGCCCAAGGCTCACCTCTCCTGGCCCGCAGCCCTCCGGCCAGGAGCCCAGAGTAGCTGGGAGGACCAGATGCCACAGGCCGGCGCTGGGCTGAGGCATAGACCTGGTCTAATACAGTGGCTACTAGACTTAGTGACTATTGAGCACTTGAAATGTGGCTAGTTGGAATGTAGATACACAGTGAGAGTAAAATTTACACCCAATTTCAAAGACAATACAAAAAAAGTAAAATATCTTGTTAAATTGATTATATGTTGAAATGATCATATTTTGGATATACTGGATTAAACAGAATATGTTGCCAAAATTAATCCACCCTTTTTTAAATGTGGGTACTAGAAAATTTTATATTAAGGAATACTAGTACTGTTAGTACAAGAACATGCCAACATTTGTGACTGTTGTGAGAGTGACTACGGTATAGTAAACACAGCTTAACCTGCTTTATTTTGTAGGGAAGGAAAAAGGCTCAAATTAAGGAAGGGATTTTATCCATGGACATGTTCAGGTTCTTCTATTGCAAACGACAGAAAACAACTCGGATAACTTGTCCAAAAAAGAAGTTATGGGGGGCGAGGGCGGTGCTGAGCTGAGGGCAGCACTGACCAATCAGGCCTGAGGATGGCGGCAGTGTAAAGGGAGCTCTCAGCTTTCGGCAGCAGGAGCTCGCGGCGACTTTTCTCTGGACTTCCCCCTGCTACCTGCTCTGGGTAGCGGGCGTGCCAATCTCCCGGGGAGAGACTGTGATAGGCCCAGCCTTTGTCACGTGGGAGACAGGAGCCTGTGATTGGCCACCGCATGAAGGAACCTAAGTGGAGTGCTGTGAGCTGTAGAAGCTGGACCGGGATGCTGGACAGGCAAGAACGGAAGATGTCCCCTGCAAGGGTCCCACAGCCCGTCGGTGGCTCCTCACTCTCAGGTCAACGCTCCCCCATACGTGATGAGTTTTCCCACTTCTATGATCTCTGCCTCTCCAGGCCCCACCTGCTCCCGAGTTCCGGCTGTTTCGGTCCCGTAACTTTGGGCTGGAGGAGAGCAGGCCCAAAGTTGGGCAGGGAAGGGAGGTCAAACTGGGGTGGGACATCCGGTCATGCTCTCCTGTTTGTTTCCAGGGATCTTCAGGACTTTGCTCGGGGGCTGGAACCTAGGGAGGCCAGGAGGGCCAGCTGAGGGGCAAAGAAGCCTAAGAACTTCGTTGTCAGAAACGCACACCAACCAGGAGCAGGGGCATGGACCACAGTGAGGGGGTTACCCTAGACCCAGCTGGCACCGTGGTGCCTCAGGAGCTGCTGGAAGAAATGCTTTGGTTTTTTCGGGTAGAAGATGGTAAGTGGCATGGGGATTGGTGGTGGTGGTGGAGGGGGGAGGGGGTGTGTGCTCTCATCACAAAGAATGGTCTCTAGCTGAAGTTCCCTGACATGGTCCCTCCTCCATGGACCCCTCCTGTGTGGCAAGCTGCACATTTCCTCCAAGGCAGGGACTGAGGCTGAGAGGTCTCAGTACCCAGAGTAGTCTGGCTGAACCACACCCTCCTTTTCTTAGGGCTTAGTCATTCCTTTACTCATCCATCCAATCGCTCACAAATATTTATTAAGTTCCTCCTGTGTGCCAGGCACTGTTCTCAGCACTAGAGTTTCAGTAGTGAATAAAACACAAAAATTTCTGCCCTTATGGAGCATACATTCTAGTGAAAGAGGTAGAAAATAAACAAGACAAACAACTAAAATGCATAGCATATTGGTGATGAGAAGGAGAGAGATGAAGCAGAGAAAGGGAACAGGAAGTGTGCAAGGATAGGTAATGTGGTCCTGGAAGGTCTCACTAAGAAGGTGATGTTTGAATAAAGGCTTGCAGCAGGTAAAGGAATTAGCCATGCAGATTATGTCGGGGAAGAGCATTCCTGGGAGAAGGAACAGCAATTGCAAAAGCTCTAAGCCTGGATCCTGCCTCATTTTGGTACACTGTGGACAAATCTTGATTATCCGAATTCAGATTAGCCACTTTATGTATTATCTGTGGACAATTGTTGACTTCAGTTTAACTGACACTCTGTCCTGCCTCCCTTCCTCTCTCCCTCCATCCCTTCTCTCTTCCTTCCTTTCCTTGCCCTGCCCAGTTCCGGTCCCCAGCAAAACTATGAAGATTATAAAATTTATGTTTACCCACCTCCCCTACTTCCCCACTATTGTCCAACTGCAGTGTTCTCCCCGATTCGATTAAGCTTCTCCAGAGCAGAGATGGTCTCCCCCTCCCCAACACTGGCGTTCCTGCAGGGTGGGGGGCTCATCTTCGCCTTAATTAAAGTCTCTCTACAACTCCTGGCCCACAGCAGGGGACAACTGATGCTGTGAGCTGGGTCTGAGGCCAAGCCCTAATTGTTAGAGGGCCTGAGAGGCACTCAGCCTCTTCTCAAGACTCTGTCCTGTGTGTCCCTCTCCAGCAACTCCCTGGAATTGTTCCATGTTTGCCCTGATGGGCGTGGTGGTCTCGATAAGTATGGTCCTCCTGGGAAGGAGCATCCAGGCAAACAGGTGAGGAGCTGGGGTGGGGGAGCTCTCTGGAGGGAGGGGGCCCTGACCTCCCAAGGGAAATCTGGGGAGGGGTCATCTAGGGGCCTCGGCTGTCCACCCTTTGGGACAGCAAAATGCAGCTTTCAGGGTCCTTTGGGAACCCAAAGCTGTTGAAAAACTAGCAACTGTTGCCAGTTACCACCTGCTGGCCCTGCCCAGCAAACAGGGCAGGGCTGGTATGTCTCCGAGGTCGGGATCTATGGCTCTGGGTTCACATCCCAGCTCTGCCACTCGCTGGCAGGACAGGGCACTCAATATGTCCAGACCAGTTTCTCCTTTTATAAATGGTAAAATGACCCACTCCTTCCTCCTAGGATTGTGGGGAGTGCTCAGTGGGGCTAGTGCAGAGTTAGGGATGCTGTTAAAGGGAAAGCCTCTCCCTGCTCCAAGGCCAAACGCAGGGTGCAGATAGAGACGTGAGGTCAGTCGAGGCTCCTGGGGTAATTTTAACACTTTTATAATGACAATACCCCTTAACCCTGGATGCACAACAAAATCACCTGAGGAGGAATATTAAAAATACAGAATGCTGTGCCTCACCTTGGAGATTCTGACACAAAGGGTCTGGGGTGGGACCTGGGCAGTGGCATTTTGTAAAAATCTCTAGATGATTCCAGGGCTCACTTTTGAGAGCTCCTTAAAGGCAGAGACCACATCTGACTCAACTTTGTTTCCTTGAGCAACTGGTACAGTGTCTGGTCCTAGAAATTACTCAATAAATGTTTGGTTCATTCGTCCCCATTCATTCATTCAACAATTACTATATATCCATCAGTCATCACTATCAGTAACTTTAAAACAATAATAATGAGAATCCCTCCCTCATATCTGTATGGTGTTTTACAATTTTAAAAGCACTTTCACATTCTGTCATTTGATCCTCAAGACAGCCCTGCAAGGTAGGGCAGGCACAGGTTATTTATTCCCATTGTACAGAATAAGATCATGGAGGATGCATGGAAGGGTTGGCCTAACCTATGTGCTCTTCCTTCTATGCTATATTTTATACTTTCTGTGAATCGTCCTCACAGTTCTGCTATAAAGTCAAAAAGAAGTAACCCCACCTTGTTCCCATTGAGAGCTGGTTGTTATGAACCGCTATGGCCCTGTTCATCATTCATTCCACAGATAAGAGCTGAGCGCCTGCTCTGTGCCAAGCTCTGTGCGGACAGGGGGAGCCACAGTAGAGGACAAGATAGATTCAGCCCCGGCCTGATGGAATTTACAGTTTGGTGGGGAGATGACTGTAGTGCAGAGTGACAGATAGTGACTGTGGGACATGGGGAGCGTTGTGGGAGCACAGGGGTGGGATCTGGGGCCTTTGAGGCAAAGAGAGAGAGGGAGGGTGGGCTGAGGAAGCTTTCCAGACCAAGGGACAGCATGCAGCAAGCTCGAGGTGGGAAGAGGAGGGCCCCATGTGGCTGTAGTGTGGAGGGTGGGGAGGGCGGCGAGGAGAGGAAGGACAAGAGGTGGGCAGGACTAGAGTGCACAGGCCCCGGGGGCATCCTGAGGGGTTCGGGTTCTAGCTCATGGGCATCCAGAGAAGGGCTTTGCATGGGGACAGGAAAGGTTTATGTTTTAGCAAGATCATTCTGGATGCAGGATATAGAAAGACCCAGAGCAGTGTAGCCTCGAAGAAGGTAACCTTGCCTCTCTCACCCTGTCAGGAAGCATCCCCATCAGCAAGGTCAACTCAGAGACAAGGCGGCTGTCCACAGGAATCGTAGACACTGAGCTGCTCCCCCTGGGGCCCAAGAAGATTCTCAGGGCAGTCAGCTCTAACCACAGCTGGGTCCCTCTGCTGTGGCCAGGAAGTCTAGGGGTAGCTTGAGTAAAACCACCTCAGAGGGAGGACATCTGGGGGAGTTATTGGAAGGAGGGCTGGGTCTTGAATGCCAGGTTAAGAAATTGGGCAGTGGGGAGCCACTGACGGTGCTTGAGCTGAGGAGCAATGTGTGCACAGTGGGGCTTTAGAAATATGACCGGTGTACACAGGCTGGTTTGCAGAAGTAAGCACCTGGAGGCAGAAAGGTTAGTGAGGAATTTCCTGTAGGAGTTTGTCTGGGGATTGGGGGTGGGGTGAGAAGGACCTGCACTGAGTAGAGTGACAGGCCTGGGATAGGAGAAAATGTGGTTTGATGAAAAGAACACAGGACTCCAGCAGGAGACTAAGTGCATGTCCCAGGTACCTTTGGCCTCTTTGAGGCACATTTCCTCACCTGTAAGGGGGAGCAATAATAATTGAGGTCACAGGTGGTGACAGGATTTGATGAGATGATGCACGGGCAAGTATAAGCTGTTTCTCTGTGAAAAGAACATGGAACCATCTTGGTTTTCTCCCCCAGCACTTCTCAGAACTGCAGACTGGATTTTCCCCTCCAACCCGCTGGCCCATTTGGGAGATTCAGTCCTGTCCCAACCACTCAGCACCCCAGCTCAGGGAACTCACATTCAACAGTGTTTTCTCTCCTCCCAGAAATCAAAAGATGCGGCCACCAGAAAAACAAACTTCAGAAGTCCTAGACTTGGTGGAGGCCGGAATCAAAGATGACAACAACCTGAGCATCCTAAGAGAGACTTTGCTCTCAGAGAAGCCAAATCTGGCCCAGGTGGAAACTGAGTTAAAAGAGAGAGATGTGCCATCAGTTCTCCTTCCAGACCCACAAGAATCTGAGAGCTAGTGAGAGCCCAGAGCAGAGCCCCATGTTGTTAGCAGATAAAATGAACTGCAATCAAACTAAACTACTGTTATTAAAAAAAAAAAAAAAAAAACCCTTTTTATTAAAATGCTTCTGCAAGTGAGCAGTTGAAATTGCAGAGTTTGTTCAAATGGTGGTGGTCCACACACAAGTGGCTTGGAGCAAAAGCGGGAAATCCATAGCCAGCCTGTGGGTCAGGAGGCCTGGCCAGCACTCCTCATGTGGTCTTGAGGAGGTCACAGCCTCCCTCTGACTTCAGCTTCTCCTTTATAAAATGGGGCTGAAGGCTGGGTTAGAGCTGTTGTTTTCAATCCAAGCTCCTGGAACTGCTGAGAGGGAAGCAGCGGGATTCTGGGCTCAGAGTCTCCTTCCTGTCCCTTCCTCCCACCAAACCCTCTCCTTTTCACTTGCTTATCTGCTGAGGGTCCGTGAAAGGTTTCCTTTGGGCCAGGGGCCCTGTGGTAAACAAAGTCAGAAAACCATGGAATTCCCTGCCTCCAAGACCCTTTTCTTGATAACCATGGGATCCCAAGGGAGTGTCCTGAGCCCATGTTGGAGCCACAGTGTTGTGGTATAAGCTGTGGTAGCAATCCCAAATAACTTATGCAGGATTTGCTTTTGAACCAAAAATGCTTTAGGTTCTATCTTACAAAAGTGGACTTCAAACACTCAGACCCATCGCCAAGGGCACTGAGTCCTGCCAGACCAGACTGCAATCTGATATACTGTGTTTCTACCTATGAGCCTGGGGCAGGCTACGAGTGCCCACTGGAGGTCTGATACTGCCAGCTGTGGGCTCCCTGGACTTCTGGGTGATTGTCACTGGAGAGAACGACTTTGTTCTGCAGCTTTGATCATTAAACTTGAGGAGGCTGGTCCTAAGAGTCTGTAGACAGAGTCCTTAATTTAAGGTGGGGAAAAAAGAGGGCCCTGCCTCCTGGTGAAAAAACTCTGGAGGCTCCCTCCACTGAGCAACGCACAGCCCTCTCCCTTCTACCCTCATTGAGAAGCAAAGTCCTGCAAACAGCCCTTCCTGGAACTTCTGTGCTTTTCACATGCTGTCTCATAGGATTATTTAAACTAGATTTTACTTGGATAAACTGGGGTTTGCTGCCTGGGGCTTCTGTGAGGTCACAAGACAACAGGAGGGCCAGGCTGCAGCCCTCCAAAACCTGCAGCTGCCTGCTCATCCTGTCCACCAGGTGGTGCTAGGACCTCAGGGCTGTCCTTCCTGCAGGATGTTCTCGGGCCTACGCCTGTGCAGGGCCTCCTCGGGCTGTCCACCCAGAGCTGTCCACTGGGGGCCACCTCTGGCCTGGCTGTAGCTGGAGCAGGAACAGGTGATGGCACCACAATGGACACTGCAACTTCCTCCTGCTTAAGGCTGACCCTGGGTTGTCGCAGTGGCTGTTTCCCTTCAGCGGCAGGGAATGTAATGGTTACCACGGAAACCACAGCCCAAGGGAATAGGGGCAGCATTCCCGCTTGTCCCTCCAGCTCACACAGTGAACTGGGTGTCAGGGTCCCTGCTTGGTGCTGGAGTAGGATCAGCTGTCGACCAGAGGGTGCAGGCTATTGTTCCCTCAGAAGGAAAGCCGGTGGTGAGAAGCCGGCCCCTGTCCTGCAGCCCGGCCCAGCCTCGGAGCCTGGGATCCTGAGGGGGGCCCTCAGAAGATCTTGAAGCCCTTCAATAGCGTCAGCGTGGGTGCCTTGCGCTTGCTCTGGGCCCGGGATGACTTCACAGTGACCAGCTTGGCCTGGGCAACGGCGGGCATCTCCTTCAGGCTGACGGTGGACAGTGTGTTGAAGGTGCAGCTAGCCAGCCCGTGCCGGGCGGTGAGCGGGGCCTGGTGGGGCAGGGCCCTCTCCTCGGAGATGAAGAGGGGCCGGGCCAGGGAGTTCTTCTCCAGCTCCCGCCGTGCCTCCCGCACTGCCTCATGGAAGACGTGCTGCACGTGCTCGAAGTCCAGGCAGGCAGAGACTTCGAAAAACAGGCACCCGAACCTGCCTGCCAAGGCTGTGCCCTCAGCCTTGGTGACCTGCCTGGTGGGGAAGCAGGGCGAGGTGGGATCAGGAGCATGCCTCCAAGTCAGGCAGGCCGGGGCCTACGCTCAGCTCCCCACTTACTAGCTTGATGACCTACTTCATCTTCATCTCTGAGGCTCAGTTTTCTCATCAGTAAAATGGGATAATGACATCTGCTTCTCAGGGTTGTTAAGAGGATCAAGGAAGACAATTTGCATTAAGTGTCTAACACAGTATCTTGAACAGTCAGTGCTCAAGAAATGGTGGCTGATGTCACCAAAGCCAGAATTTAGGAACGAGGCTTAGGGTGAGGGAGAAGCCGGCCTAAAGTCCCTGCCTAGACCCTGCCTGTGGCCAGAGGAAGATAGCCATTCCCAGGCCCATTTCTCCTCTACTCCAGCATGGGTAATGAGCTTGGTCAGGAAATGAGCCACCCTCAGCCCTGGCTGGTGGGATCAGCTCTAGAAGAGGGCAGTGGTTTGGACTGAAGGGTGGGAGACCACAGTGTCTACAGAGGCACGGAGGGCCACAGTAACTCACGATGCCTGTGGCTGGCAGAGCTCGTGGGGAGTTTTTTCTGCCTGCCCAGTGGAGGGACGAGAGAGAACAAGGGTGATATTTCATGGGGAGGAGGGGGAAAAGGAGAGAGGGAGCAGCACCTATTCCCAGCTTGGTCCTGTACCACCTCTGGTGACAGTGGGATTGAATATTTGTAACTGGGAAGGCTCTGGAAACTTCTGACCTGAAAGCCATGGGAATAAAGGTGAGGGGAAAAGACTGGCTCTTAGGGAGGTGAGATGTCCAGAAGAGGGAAGGGCCAGGGGATCCCTGAGGTCTTGGGACCAAGGTTCCAATGGCTGAATCCTCAGGATCACCCCCCATTTTGGACTGTTTCACTTGCTATTCCTGAGGACAACGACACAGCCTGTGAGATCAGAGGGGGCACTTGACAGGTACTGGTGGGAAAAAGTTTCTGAGCCAAGGTTCACTGGGCAGGAGCAGGGGCCTGGGAGTGGGCTGGCTGTCCTAGGGAGTATCAGACAGAGAGAGTGACTGGGACAAAAAGGGTCGGGGGCAGAGCATCTAATCCACTCCCCACCCAGGGCTGGCATCCCGTCTATAAGCCACTGCCTCCCGAGGAACCCCTTTTTATTTGCATTTCTGAGCAACTTGAATCTGAAACGTTGTCATTGTGGGGCTTGAATAATGAACTTTCAGAAACAAGGTGCATGTGTGTGAATGGGCAACACGGGATGTAACATTATCCTTTTTCTGATTTTGTTGCGGCCTAGTGAAAATTTTATCAGTGGTTTGGAAACCACCGCTCTAACCCACATTTTACCCTCCACCCAAAAGACAATCATGGGAGACAGTGACCAACGCCCGGCTAAAAGTTAGATTCATTGTGCCCATCGGATCCTGAGCTACTAACCTTGGGACTTGATCAAAGAAGGAAATGGGGATAAATTGCCATGACTTGTTCTTAGGGAACTCATGCTGCTTCATTTTAGCTCCATATTCTTTGTTATTTGCTCCCAAATCATTTTCAGACAATCCCTATGGCAAAGATTGGGATTCAAACAGTGGTCTAGTTTTTCTCCTCATACTGCAAACTGGTTTATTCACAATCCAGTCTTCTGGTCCCTCTTCCAGGATCTGTGGGCCCTCTGATTCCTCAAAGACCACCTTCTGGCTTTAAGATCACACAACTTCCCTCATTCCCTGAGGTAGATTGCTCTGGATCTGATGGCTTGACCACCTTTGAAGGCCCCTACCATGGGCCTCCTTCATGAGACTGCAGCCCCCTTCTCCCACTGCCCAGCTGACTGTTCTATAGCATGGGTCCCCTCCTTGCTAATACCAGCCAATGGACCTCTGGGGCCAGGGGAAGCAGGAGGGACTGGCCTGGGACAGGTGGAAGGCTGGTGGAAGGTGCCATACCTTGCAGTTGGACTGGCCACATGTTGGTGTTGGAGAAGGCCAGTGGGATGGCTCATTAAGTGGAGGCATCAAAGTCTCAAATGCCTCAGGGGCCACGCAGGCCACTTGAATGTGTGGAGAGGGCGGAGATAAGCCATGGGGAGTGGTGAGACCTGTGGTCAGCTAGAGAGAGCACGCCCCGCCTCAAAGCATTCCAATTCCAGGTCTTTTAAAATACTGTGCCGGCCAAGGAAAATATGGCTGCAGTATTCAGGGGTAATCTGCCCTCTGGCCCAGTCTGTGACCCCTGATTCAAGTCCAGCCCTTTCCGAGAGAACCTGCCCTCAGCACAGCCAATGGGAGTGAGCCTGGGGACCATGCTTGCGTGAGGGAGAGCAGGTTGGACCAGAGCAGACACCTGACCCAGGAGGCCAATTAAAGCCTCTCTCCCTTGAATTGGAACTGGGCATTGAATGACCATTCAGCTGTGGGGAGTGGGAATGGAAGGTCATACAGACTCAGGCAAGAAAGGGTGAGGCCAAGAGAACACCGAGCCCCATGAGGATGAAAGGAATGGTCCCCCTTCTGACTTTCCGGGTCCAGCCCCTGTGCAGCCCAGGTGCCCCTCCCTGCTTGCCCAGAAGACCACGCCCACCTACCCTTACAACATACCCCCTTTTACCTAAATTTGAGAGGATTCCTGTTCTTAGCAGCCAAATAATTCCTGAAGATGACACCCAGCCTTTACAAATGAGGAACACGAGCTCTGGCGATGTGGGAGCAAGCGCCCGTGCTCACCTGTACTGGGCCATATCCAGCTTGTTGCCCAGCAGCAGAGCAGGGTAGCCACGCTTCGTCTCCTTCGCGTGCAAAGCGAGCAGCTCCAGGTAGCTGCTGCTGCCCTCGAAGCTCTGGCGGCTGTCGACGCTGTATACCACCAGGAAGGCGTGCGCCCAGTTCAGGTAGCGCTCACAGTTCCTGGGGGTGTCCTGGCATGAAGGAGGGAAGCCCCGGTCAGAGATAAAAGCTCGGGGTCAAGGCCTTCACCTGAGCAGCCCTGTTCCAGCTCCCACTCCCGCGCCTTTGTACATTGTTCCCCAGCAGAGCCCTTTTCAAAGGGGCACTTGAGTGTGGATTTGGCTTTGTGTGAAAGGAGACA